CTTTTTATGGCTTGACAACATATTTCTTTTTAGTTCTGAGTAATCCTCAGTTATCTGGATGTACCACAGTTTGTTTATATATTCATTTATTGAAAGGCTTATCTTGGTTGCTTTCAAGGTTTGGCTATTATGAATAAAGCTGCTGTAAACTTCCGTGTGCAGGTTTTACGTGGGCATAAATTTTCAACTCATTTGGATAAATACCGTGAACCATGATTACTGGATTGTATGGTAAGATATGTTTAGTTTTGTGAGAAACTGCCAAACTATCTTCCATAGTGGCTGTACCATTTTGCATTCTCAACCAGCAGCAAATGAGATTTCTTGTCACTCCACATTCTTGTCAGCATTTGATGTCAGTGTTTAGGATTTAGCCATTCTAATGTGTGTGTAGTGGTGTCTATTTGTTGTTTCCTTAATGATATATGATGTGGACGTCTTTTCATGTGCTTATCTGATATCTTTATATCTTCTTTGGTGAAGTGTCTGTTCAGGTCTTTGGCCCATTTTTTCACTATGGTGTTTGTTTTCTTATTGTTGAATTCTAAAAGTTCTTTGTAGATTTTGGATAATAGTCCTTATCAGGTGTGTCTTTTGCAAATATTGAAGTCTATCTTATCAGTGATCTCTTTCATGGATCATGCTTTGGTGTTGTGTTTAAAAAGTCATTACTAGATACAAGGTGATCTAGGTTTCCCCCAAGTTATCTTCTAGGAGTTTTATAGTTTTGTATTTTACATTTTGTGTTCATTTTTAAGGGTGTAACATCTGTGTCTAGATTGATTTTCTTGCATGTGGTTGTCTAATTGTTCTAGCACCATTTGTTGAAATGACTGTCTTTGCTTTATTGTAATTCCTTTGCTCCTTTGTCAAACATTAGTTGACTGTATTAACAGGTGTCTATTTCTGGGCTATCCCTTCTGTGCCATTGATTTATTTGTCTATTCTTTCACCAGTATCACACTGTCTTGATTGCTGTAGCTATATAGTAAATCTTGAAGTCAGATAATGTCAGTCGTCTGACTGTTCTTCTCCTTGAATATTGTGTGACTATTTTGGGTCTTCTGCCTCTCGATATGAACTTGGGAATCATTTTGTCAATATCCACAAAATAGCTTGTTGGGATTTTGAATGTGATTGCATTGAATCAATAGATCAAGTTAGGAAACTGACATCTTAACAATGTTGATTTTCCTATCCATAAACATGGAACTTCTCTCTATTTAGTTCTTTTTTGATTTATTTCATCAGTTTTTTAGTTTTTCTCATATAGATCTTAAACATATTTTGTTAGATTTATACCTAAGTATTTCATTTTTGGGCATGCTAATGTAAATGGTATTGTGTTTTTAATTTCAAATTCTACTTGTTCATTGCTGGTATATAAGAAAGTGTTTGACTTTTGTATGTTAACTTTGTACCCTGCAACCTTGCTTATTAGTTTCAGAAGTTTTTTTTGTGTGTTGATTCTTTGGGATTTTCTACCTAGACCATCATGTCATCTGTGAACAAAGATAGTTCTGTTTCTTCCTTCCCAATCTGTGTACCTTTATTTCCTTTTCTTATTGCATAAGCTAGGAATTCCAGTATATTGTTGAAAAGGATTAGTGAGGGGGCGTCATCCTTGCCTTGTTCCTGATCTTAGTGAGAAGGTTCATTCAGTATGTATAGATGCTTTTATTTTTCAGCATAGCATTTATCTCTCTGTATGACAGATTGTGTAGTTACTGTTTATTGTCATACTCTTCCCCCTTAGAATGTCAGTTCTTAAAGATATCACCATGTCTGTTTTTATCACTGTTGAGTCTCCATCACCTAGTAGAACATATCAAGTAGTCAGTAAATGTTGGTGCATAAATAAAGTATAAGTGAATAAATAAGACCTGTACTTCTAGACTCTAATGGCGATCATAAGAATAGAGAGAGAAACCAACTGCTAAAAAGTATTGAGACAGAATTGTAAGACTTTTATATAAGTGAATGACAGGAGGAAATTTAAAGGTGGTTGGTATTGCTCAATTTTCTAGCCTAAGGACTCTCTTCTCCATCAGTACACTCTTAGACAATCTCATTTACTCTCATGGTTTCACTGCACCATGCTGTTGTCTCCCAAATCTCTATTTCTAGTCCGACTCTCTCTTCTGAAAATCAGATGCCTACTGGATATCTCCACTTAGATGTATCATAAATATATCAATTCAACATAACCAAAACAAATTCATAATTTTTCCGCCCAAACTTATTTCTACTTTCTGTATTTTCTATCAAAGAGCAGTGTATTATTACCAAGCTAAAATGCCAGGTGCTGTATTTGATATTTAAGTCTTCCTCTCTCTCTCTCTCTTCATCCAATAAATGACAAAATCTTGTTAATCCTCTTTCCTAAAACATTCGTGAATCCATCCACTTCTCTTTAACTACTGCCTTGTCTTAGTTTAGACTGTTAACATCTTCTAGCTTCATCCCACACTGTCTTCTTGCTTCCTTTCCCTTTCATTCTTTACATTCTAGTCTGAGGAATTTTGTAATTAGAAAAAAAAATCAAAGAAGCAGAGAGAGAAGCTGAGGCTGATAGAGTTGGAATGATTTACCCAAGATGACAGAGCACAGGAGTGAGCAGTGGAGCTGGATGGTAAATCCTGAGTGACTGGAGCCTCCAATGACTCGAGCCTTCACTGTCCCGTGCTGCCTCCAGTAACATCAGTGAGTGTGGAGTAGTTGGCAGAGTATTTTCATGTTTTTCTTCTTGAGTAACTTTTTGAAGCGGGGATTATAATTACCCTCACTTGTCAGATGAGAAAATCGAGAAAGGGAGGATTCAGGTAACTTGTGCAAGGAAGAGAAGCTGTTAAGTGGTGGAGTTAATACTAGAAATTGGTTTCTGTCTCCAAAACTCATACTTTTAGCCCTGGAATTTGCTAATGGTAGCAAATATTCAGTGTACTTTTTTGGGCTTGCTCATGATTTGATTTGGTCCTAGCAATGTGATCAAGTAGGTTAAATTCTCAGTGCCTCAGTTTCTTCATCTATATAGTATTTACTGTATATGTTATAGATGGACACAAAGTACTTATTATAGTGCCTGACACATGGTAAGGTCTTAGTTATTGAGATATATTAAGTGTTAGCTTTTGTTAATAGTAGCCAGATTTCTTATTTTCATTACTTTAAGCTGTGTTACCAAAAAATTAATAGCTTCTACTTCTCATTACTGTGTAATCTTTACTTCTCTAAGCATTCTATACCATTTTTTTTTTTGAGGAAGATTAGCCCAGAGCTAACACCTGCTGCCAGTCCTCACCTTTTGGCTGAGGAAGACTGGCCCTGAGCTAACATCTGTGCCCATCTTCCTCTACTTTATGTGTGGGACATCTGCCACAGCATGGCTTGTGCATAGGTCTGCACCCAGGATCTGAACCGGGAACCCTAGGCCACTGAAGCGGAACGTGTGAACTTAACCACTGCACTACCAGGCGGGCCTGTCTATACCTATTTTTCACCATGCCTTTGCATTAGTTATTCCTTCTATTTGAATTGCCCCTTTTTCTTTTCTCTGCTGCTGTTCAAATTTTACTATTTTCTTAAGGCTCTCAAATTCTCTGAAATATTTTAGCTGTTAACCTATTTCTTTCTGATTTCTTGTACAACTTCTGTTCTATAATTATACTTTATTTATTTGCAAGTCTTACCTTCCATGTTTTTCATATTTATTGTGATGAGCATATAATATTTGCTCAATAAATGTTTATAATTGCTTGAATATAACATTTGGCATACTTTATTGAAGAAGTCTTATGTGTCAGGCACTCTTCAGTACTTGGGCATAAGGTATGAATAAGACCTAGTCCCTATCCTCAAAAATATGGTGGATAAATCATAGCTTATATTTATATAACACAGCGGTTCTTAACCTCTCTTCTTCTTTCACATCATTTGTAATATGTACAACTCACTTTCATCATTAATATCTCATTACACACATTCACTAGGGGAACATTTCCCTCCAGCATCAGGAGTTGCTTATTTATGATTCTTTGTAATTTTAAAAAGCCCTTTCTCATGCCCTCTCTTATTTAAGTGTCCTGACAAACAAATGAGGTAGGAATTAACACAGCCATGAGTGGAAAGAAAATTGAGATCCAGAGATGGAGATGTTACAGTCCCACCTTATAGGTGGAGAAACTGAGTCTCAGGAGCTTTTTTTAGACTAAAATACAAAGTTAACAATAGAGTTGGGACTTAAACTCAGGTTTAGTATTTAGGTAATCTAACAATTGCATAGTAAGTTCGTGTATGGTAAGCATTTATTTATATATCTAAAAATTTAAGCTTTGTATTATAGGAATCTTTAAGCAAATACCAAAAAGAGGAGTATCATGAATTCCTGTGTACCCCCCAACCAACTTCAGCAGTTATCAACATTTTGCCAATGTTGTTTTATGTAACTCCCAGTGCTACTTTTTCTTTTCAGAATATTTTAAAGCAAATCCTAGATTTGATATTCTACTCATAAATATTTCAACATGAGCATTGACTTTAAATTTTACTGAATATAACTCTGTGAAGTACATTAATAATTTTTAAATACCTTAATTCTATTTATAATGAATTGTTCCATTAGATATATAGCGACATTCAACAGATTTTCAAGTGTATCTACTTTTACGGAAATCTAAACTTTTAGTGTACTATTTTTTATGGTACAGAAGTATTTCAACTCTAGAATACTTTCTTGATATAAAATAATGTGACTTGGGAGGGGGAAATTTAACCAAAGGAAATAATTAGCTGATTATTTGCTTCTAATGAGTACTGTTTTTGGGAAATAGGTGCTTTTATAAGCATCTATTTTAAACACATTTAAGAAATTTTTGTGAAAATAGGTGTTTTATAATATATCTCTCTTTTCTTCTATTTTTATTCTCCTGTTTTACAGGAAAAAATGTTCTTTCTCTTCTCCAAAAGCTAACCTTAACAGTTGTATACTGGACATTATTTACCTCCCTTGTAGAATTTTGCTGCTTCATTCATCACCTCTTTTAAATCCTTCTCTCTTTTTCTCTCTCGTCTTGACAGACTATAGGCCTTCAGGTCTCCCTAATTAAAAGCAACAAAAACAAAACAACCTTCGCTTGATTTTATGTACCAGCTGTCTGTTTGAATACCTCTGCTGACACTTCATTGACATTAGGGAAAGGCCCAGATTATTTAGTATGGATAGCAGGTTCTTTTCCCTTTGTCTCCCAGATATCTTCCCATTCTTGCCACTTATCCCAAATGCCCTTGATGTTAATTAATAGTAATTATAATCTAAACAGTCACAAAGTTGTTACACTAACATATAATTTATTATACCCTCATATATGCTGCGGCATAGTATATATGAACCAGAACATCTCACTCATTCTTACTCAACTTAGTTCAACAAAATTCACCAAACACTTAAATTTTCACTATGTGGCAGGTGCTATTTAGGCTCAAAGACTCTGAGATCCATTTGCAATTGAATATAATATCAGAAGAAATTACAGAGATACTGTGTACTTAAATATATAACAATTTTTGTTTGTTGTAGATGTAGTTGCTTTTGTAGTGTAACAATTTAAGATTTATTTATAATTTGTTGCGCCAGACTATTATGGTCAAACTATTAATCTAATTATGTTTTTTAATTTGTCTTTTAGGGACAGTATGGAAATTACCAGCAGTGAAAAAGTACTTACATTCCAATAGCCAGTATCTATTAGCAGCCATATTGTCACCTCAGCACTGTGGACACCTCCCTGTGAAAAGATCCTTCCATTCCGTCTAGTTTTTGGAAAAAACCTAGTGGCTAAGTGGCTGTTTCATCAGTAAGCAGCCTTTGTGGCTTAGTTGTAAAAGGCTTTAGTAGCTCAAAAATACTCTTAATTTCACATTTCTACTCTAGATGGCAACATTGGACAGAAAATACAATGACATAACCAATTTGCAATGATTTCGGAACTGTGTTTCAAATGGACTGTTACAGACTGAAAGGTGTGAACAGCTTTGTATGTTTATGAAGGTTAAGGGAATTTAATACTTTTCCATAGATTCTTTTGTAAGGGGAAGAGGGAAATGTACACTTTTTACAGCAGCAATATTTTGTATATTATGTTTATTTCATGTGAATATGCAAGGCGGTACACTACGCTCTGGACAGAATCAGAAATCCTCTGTTAATGTGGAATGGAGCACGGTGGATGCTTGATTGTGTTGGTCTCAAAATGGTGTACTGTAACGACAAAGGTGAGGGAAAAGACAAAGCACACCATATGTCCACTGCTAGGTTCTTTAGAGGAAATTCGGATCCCTTTTATCTGTTAGATAATCAAGGGCACTGTGATACAATTTTGAGTAAAAAGATGTTTTTTAAAAGCTTTCCAGTTTTGTGGACTAAAACCTTTTTATAAAGATCATTTATAATACAGTTTTAAAATGTGATGGCAATAAGAATTACTTTGTGTTGGATCTGAAGAATCTTGGTAATAGTTTCATGTAAATGAAGTGGTAATCCTCTCCTAAAATAGCAATAACTGAAAATGGAAGTGTTAATTTTACTTTGTTTGAGTAGTCAAGGAACTTAGTAATATCACAGCATTTTATAAATGATATCAAAGAAAAGTCAACATTGATCCAGTAATTTTATTTTTTAACATTAGAACGATAATTGATTTATATAATAGAATAGTTCAGGACACTTTACAAACCTTTATTTCAACTATCTTAACTGGAAATAATGCCATTTATAAAGGAATACTTTTTTCCCTTTTTTGTGTTGGTTAATGTAATGCAAAGAGATGTTTAGGAAAATGCTTATTGATGAGGTTTATTCTGATCTTATTAAAAACATAGAGGTTACATTCTAGATCACTTTGTTTATTAGCATGGCATATTTAATCATATTTGAGACTGTCCTGTGCCTGATTATTTTAGCTAAATTCAGGGATATTGCATTGGGCAGGAAATCATGCATTGAGAAGTTTATAACCACAATTATTTAAGCATAGTCTGAAAACATCTAGCCCAAAGGTAAGTTGCTATTTTCATCACAGTTGCCTATGCCTAGGGAATAAGACATATTCTTTGTAATTGAATTGGTTTTTCTCACTTCTAACTGGAAACAAAACAGAAGGGGCGCCATAAATTTGAATAACCAAAATGTACTATTCTCAACATACTGTAATCAAAAGGAGGAATTTCAGTGTGTCTCCGTGTGTGTATGAGAGTGAGTGTGTGTGTTTTAAGGTCAGAATAGGTTTTTTTCAAGATGGTCAGTAGAAAATGGACATCAAGTTTGAACAGCTAAAGCATGGACAGCCTTATTGTGATTGAAATGCTTATAGGTTCTGTGCCAATTTTCCACCACTGTGTACTTTGTTGCTATTTAAAACTGTATCAACTCTAACGGAAGAATAAATTATTTGTGATTTTAATTTTCTCATTTGTTTCTTTAAATTAGATCTCTTTGACTCTCTTGTTTTGTCTGGAGACTATGCTGTGGGTTTTTTATATAAGTTAGTCCAGTATAAGCAGAGTATATTTGTATTCTAGGACTTTATCAAAATTCTCTTGCTATGCCCAAGTTAATTAGAATTAACTGTTCAGTAATCAGCATGTTGTGTGGGCTGTTTGTTACAGAATTCTTTCTCTGAAAATGAAGTCCATGAGGCTATAATCAAGATGACTGAATTAGATAAATGAGTTGAGGAGACAAAATTGTACTGAACTCAACCTGGTGTAGATACGTTATCTCATTTGAAATAAGCTCAACTGACATTAAGAAATAATTTGTCTTGCCAACCCATCTTCTGTTGTCTTATTCTCCTTTTAATGGAAACTAAAATTGCAATTTTAATAAGCAGAATTTCCTCCAGGACTTTCTTCCTGGAGACTAGTGCATTTGCAAGGTTTAATTGTTTTATAACAGTCCTGTTTCGTAAAAGTTTTTAATTGGTGGTGACAAAAACTGCCTTACTCCTTTGATACCTAGTAAGAAAAGTAACTTTACTGGTACCTTTCTACCAAATTTTACATTCCCATATTGACTAGATAGTCTAAAACTGAAATTTTTATTTTATCAAAGTGTATTATAATGAAGAAATATCATACCATCTGGTAAAATTCCAGAAGCAAAATGTTACTAAGAAAAGAGCAAGGTGATTTTTTTATCAACATTTAAATTATTTAACTGGGCTAGTTTAGTTGTTTGAAAATATGTTAGTAATATTCTGTAGAGTTGTGGTGACACATTGTTTTGGGTTTTGTTTTTAATTTTTCCCTGGAATTTTCAAACATAAACACCAAAGTGGAGAGAATGGTATAATAAGCCCCATGTACCAGTAACCCAACTTATCCGCTTGGCAGCTCGTGGCCAATTGTGTGTTGTCTGTACACCAACCCACAAATTGAAGCAAACACAATGTCATTTAATTATTTCAGTAAGTATCTCTAAAAGATAAGTACTCTTTTAAAAAATACTTTGATACTTAAGGGCTCTTTCTGCTCCTAAAATTTTGTATTTTCAGTGTCAACAGTGAATTAGAAACCATCTCAGAATTTCTATGAATAAATCACTGCCTTTTCTTTCATTTTAAAAAGTCATTCATGTTAAATAATTAACACATTAACAGAAATAGATTATATAGAATGTGAGCATTCTCCATAATTTCTTCTCTTAAAGGTAACACTTATTAAAGGTTTGATATATTTCTTCCAATTTGAGTTTACACACATAAGCCAACATATATTATTGTTTTGTCTTTTTAACAAAAATGGAATTATCCTAGCCATACTGTTTTGTAACTTCCTTTTTTTTTTTTTTTTTTTGGTTAGAAATATCTTGAATGTTCCCTATTCTTGTATTGTTCCTAAGTTTTTGCTATTGCAAATACAAAGTTTTCATAAACTATCTGGCAAGGTTTTTTTGTTTGTTTTTCTATGCTTGTTGGGCTATTTTTACACAGTAAATTTCTGATATGTTAGCTGTAAGGCTGTGTGTATTTTAGAAAGTATTCCCCTAAAAGATATATTGCCAACACCAGATTATTAGCTTTGTTAATTTTTGCAATTCTAGTAGGCTTTAGAAAAATGCTATCAGATTTTAATTTGAATTACATTTGATTTATTTGTAAGTTTGAGCATCTTTTCAAATGCTTAATGACACTTTGAAATGCCTTTTAGTGTCCCTTGTCCATTTTTCTATTGTGTGTTCGTATAAGAGAGAGAAGAAATAATATAAATACATATACACAAATATATAATTATATATGGTTCTCTCTTTGCACATATTAATCCTTTGTCTCTTCTATATATTGCACATCTCTTCAGTCTGTTCATTATTTATTTATTTTCTTTTTAAGATTTTATTTTTTCCTTTTTCTCCCCAAAGCCCCTCCGGTACATAGTTGTATATTCTTCGTTGTGGGTCCTTCTAGTTGTGGTATGTGGGACGCTGCCTCAGCGTGGCTTGATGAGCAGTGCCATTTACGCACCCAGGATTCAAACCAACGAAACACTGGGCCGCCTGCAGCAGAGCGGGCGAACTTAACCACTCGGCCACGGGGCCAGCCCCTGTTCATTACTTTTTAACTTTGGTTATGATGTCTTTCACTGTATTAAAGTTTTAAGATTTCATGTAGTCAATTTCATAGCTTCTTGCAACCTCCCTAACTCTAAATTTAAAACTATATTCCCCATACTTCCAGTTTTCTAAAATTTATTGTATATGGTATGATTTAGAGCATTAACTTTTTTCCTCTATGAATAACTAGTTGTTTCAACATCCTTTATTGAATAAACCAACTGATTTGAGATGTCACCTTATTCTGTTTATTTAAAACATTAATTATTGTTAAGGCATGTTTGATTTATGTCATTTCAAAGACTAGTTTCATTTAAGTATAACTTCATTTAACTGGCATAAAGTCGAGAGGGTTTTTTCCCCCTATCAAGGTGTTTTTTATTGGATAAGAATTAACTACAAGAGTGTAAACAATGACTGCCTTCTTAAGAAAATTATAGAAATGTGTTTTTATATAGAATGACTAGAACCTATTGGAAAATTGTGCTTGGTG